CACCTTCCGCAATGGGTTGCTCGCGTATACGGACAGGACATGGCTGCGACAGACTTCCCAAATCCACCTTCGCTTTTATAGCCGTGGTCTCTCATCTTGATTACACGACGTAATTTACCATTACTACTCTAAAATATGAATTGCATCTGAAATAATCAAATACATGGAATGGAATGAATAATAGTACATTTCCCTTTTTTTAGGAAATGACCTGTATGTATCTGTATGAAATCAATAAAAGGATCAAGTACTGCATTATCTTTAGTTACATTGATAATATTTATTTATGGACAAACAGTGGTAAAATATCGCTGTTGCTTTCGTATAAATGAAGCGGACATACCTGAGTGGCCGCGATCTAATCTTGTTTACATAAAGTAAACCTGCTCCCGAGCAGGTTTACGCTTACGGATCTGTTGCTATGACAGCAAGTCCCGGATGAGCTTCGGAGAACCGAAGGATCCAGGATCGCGCGAAATCGTCAACAATCAAATCCAGCTAACTTACTTAGCGAGGTACGAAGAACGGGCCCCTGGTAACAGTTTCACTCCTACTGTGTGATGAATATTTGTGGTTTTCCAAAAAAAAATCCATCTACTGTATTTGTATGTGAGTAATGCAAAGTGAAACTTGGCTTTGCATTTGGTGTGAACACACCATAGCTGTCATTTTTCTTCTTAATTATTATCTCCCCTGAAAAAACACTTTATTTTCATTTAGTTTTTTTCTTTAATTGGAAGCTTTCTGTCTTAAAGCAACCTTCCCACTTTCACAACTCTCAGTCCTTTATTTGCAGTATGAAGACTCCATATAATGAGCACAATTTCAAAACAACTCTTCTGATTCTTGTGAATCAACAATTTGTCGTGTAAACGTATTTAGTGCGCAAAGTAAGACCATTTCCAATCACATTAGAGAACGAGGCACAGCGACTGCAGTTATCTATGCGAGTGTAGCGGGAGATACACCGCATGAGATGCATTCTCGCCACTGGCAGCACTCCGGTGTAGGAAAGCGTGCTTGCCTGGGTAGTGAGTGCAAAGAGTCGGGTCAGATGGCAACTGCTCATTTGCTGCGCATGCATCGGATTTACCTGCTCTAGTGTCACATGCGCTTAATCAGACCACATGGACCTTGAACTCTGGACATGGCAGAGAAAAGACATTTTAATGTCCAAGCTGTCAGAGTCAGGTATTTGAATTCTTGTCTCTCTGCCAGGAAATGCAGACAACAGTCCAGGACTGTTGCTGATGTGTGAAAATGTTTTTTAATCTATCCTCTGGTATTCCTCCATCCATCCTGCAGCTTATGACACTTTCCTATTCAATGTACAGATATGAAAATCAGGGCAAATTTTCCTGCATGCAAAATGTTAAATTAGTCTTCTTTGCAGCATTGCTTCCATCACACAGCACTTTCCCAACCATGAATTCCCCTCAGCTTCTGCTATCTACAATATGCATGTCTCTCTTCTGCTCTTCCAACTTTGTGTTTAACTTCAGGCACCATTACCCACACAAGGCCCCAACTTTGAAGCTCACACCCACCGCTTGTCGTTGAAGCAGATGTAACTGTGGATTGTGTGTACAAGCCAGATGGACCAAACCTCTGCACGGTTACCACTAGCTACCACCTCTGTGGTAAGGAACACAGCCCTGTTGAACAGAATCAATCTATGCGCTTAAGGAGTGAGGTCCTTTTGAGCCACACAGACAATCAAGGAAGGAAGGTTGTGGAAGAAAATAAAAGAAAAAGGAAAGTGTGTGTGAGTGTATATGTGAGCAAGGATAGATAGAATGAAATGACTAACACAGCCTATAATCACTATGGTAAGCCTTTAACTACATAGGAGCATCTCCAAATGTCTACTCTTGGCTTGTTCTGTGGCTCGCCTAACAACAGACATAAATATGCTGCAGACACAGAATTCCAGGAAGACTCTTTTAAGTCCATAAGCAGAGCAACAAAATGATTTTAAACAACTCCAAAAGCATAATGCTGAGGGTGGCTCACATACTGCACAAGACTGCATTCTTACTGTAAGCGTTATTTTTTAGGTATATAAAAAAGCCCATGCAAAGCATTTTCCATTTAAGCCGTAGTGAGAAGAGCAGCTGTCCAGATTGGAAGTTGTGCAGTGGTGAGCTTGGGAAAGGCACAGGCTGCATGTGTTTGCTCATGCTATCACAGGCTGCTTTGTGTTTACAGATGTTTTAACGGTTGTTGAGGAAGACCAGGACTGAACTACCACAGTGGTCACTGGGAACCATTTCAACATTTGAGGTGAACCAAACAGAATGTTCAATGGTTTTGACATCACCTGGTTATCAGCAGTTTTTCCTGAGAGCTTATCAGAATGGTACTGTAAAAGTGACAGAGATAAAGATATTTGATCCACTTTGTTAACAACGTCAAAAGGCCCAAGGGTAAAGACACAGAGCTCAAAATGTATCCTCAGACATTAGTCTCAGCTACACCAAATTTATTACCTGAACTACGTACCTTTCCCTGCTTCCTCGCCTCCTCCTGCCACATCAGAAAATATATGAAAACAATCACGGGAAGGCATAGAAATTATAACCCGTAACACGAACCTCAACTATAAATAACAATTCAGGCCCGAGGCAAAGAAGATGGACTGATTTACAACAAAAATCTGAGAAAGAACGGTTTCTTTTGCACCAGTACTGGCATCGGGAAGAGAAATAACAATATGTTCAGCACTTGAACTTTCAAACTTGATTCCACTTATTCCTGCTATAAAAATCAACCTAGAGAGCCTGTGTACCATCCTGAACATGTATGACTGAATTGCAACTTGCCATAATTAAATATAAAGTAGTTTTAGAGCAGTGAACAGACCGTTGGAGGGGGCCTGACCCCCGCACACTAAAGAAGTCAAAGGTGGAAAGTTACTTCTAAGACATTTTAAAGTAGGAATCAATTATTTTTATAGGAAAAAAAACTTTAAATGAGGGAAAGAGAAGAACTTTAGCTAGATAAAAGATGGTGAAACGTTAATTTATTGTCACTGTGTTTCAGATTGCTGCAGATTGCATAACAGCAAATGGAAAAAAAAAAATAGAAAAGACGCACTAGTGTGGACTTGATCTTAATTTGACCGGAGAAAACACGATGAGTTGGCATTCTTCGGTGGATTCCAGTGGTATTTTTCCATCTGTTTCTCATTAAACCCATACAAAGGAAGATGAAATGTCTTAGTAAATTGGCAAGCTATTTCCCTGTTTAAGAATACCGAAGATATGGCAAAATTACAAAACTAAAACTACTGCTTGATTCCATTTATTGGTTACGCAATCAATAAAACTGTGTACTGATAAATAAGTCAATCAAGCTGTGTTTTCTTGAACATAATGATCTGCAGGCTCTTTGTACTCTCTGCTTACAGCAATCTGAGTTTGCATTCTAAAAGCAGGAAAACACTGCACACTATTAAATGTCACCTACATCAAAAGCACTGTAAAAACAAGAGGGAAATAAATTGTCCAATGCTGTCAACTGCACTATTAATAACTTAAAATAGCATATAAGGCATGCCATACCTTCCATAACCATGCAGACATGATGTGCTGCGATGCTTAGGTGCTCTTTTTCAAAGGCAATCCAAGTATAGAGAGAGATTTTACTAATGCAAATCTAAGGTAATGATAAATAGTTTGCATGTAATACGTGCACGTGCAAGTGCAGGGCCAAAATCAAACAGTTTAAATTCCACTAATGTTTCTCCAGGTAATATGCATGCTTAACATTCTGGCAACAGGTGCTGCAGCAGCCAGCAGGCTGCCCAGAGATGGCCTGGAGATCTCAGGTCACTGACTCATGCTGTCTGGCTCACCTTTTAATGGCAATGAACAGATGCACCTAAGAATATACTCAGAGCACACTACCTTGCCAAAATATAACTGGTTTGCACGCTTTAAGCGTCATTAAATGTATGCAAATGTATTGAGCATCTGATTTCAATTATAGGCCTTTCTCTGGATCAAACAAAAACATTCAATCAACAGATTAAGACAGAATTAAGCTGCCTGCTGATGGTTAAGCTGCTAACTCAATCTTTTTGGACTACAATCCTTACCATAATAAACTACAGCCAATTAATTTGGATGGAAATAAAGTCTTTTCATCCAAATGTGCACAACTATAATCCCAATAGATGCCTTAAATCCACAATGTACTGATTCATTGCTTGAACAAGAGTCAATTCTGTTTTATCCAAGCTGAACCAGGTCCATCTGCAATAAAAAACTTTGGTCAGAAAATGCCTTCTTATCCGTCTTCCAGAAGTAATCCTCATAAAATACGTCCAGGAATGCAGACACTGCTGCACAAGAGATTTTCCTCTTGACCACCTTCGACTGATCACTTTTTGGGGGTTGCTAGGAATTTCTCAAACCTGTTTGTTGCAGAATAAGCACCATTTTTATTTTCCAGGTTTGACACTTTTACCTTAGTTGTAGTTGTTTCTATCATTGGGCTAAAATGTCAATTCATTATTTCACACTTATTTTGTGGTTGTTTGCAAGTTTTTGGTTTTAAAAGGTAAATTATGGCAACATCAACTCATTCCCTCATCTGCAGTATTCTTTCACCTAATTATTTCAGATAGATCAGTGGCACCTGGGTTAGCTGGCTGAACATCCTGCATCATCCTGTCCCTGGACTTTGACAGAGCAGCCCCAGTCATATATTTACCCCGAGTCTATTGATCACTATCCTGCCTGACAAGCCAGATCAGGAAAATGCAGCGTTTGCTCAACAGTGAACCTTTCCACATGAATCTGAACAAACAGCACTCTGCAACTGATGTCTGACAAAAGACGTGATAACAAGTGTCAACAACATGCTGCACGCAAAACACACTTGTTAATATTTGATGAGGTGAACATAGAAAGAGAGAAGAATTATTTTTTTTCTCACATGTTATTTCTCACTCTAACTGGTTGTGACACAAAGCTGTAAGAACACCAGTAACTTACCTGATGATGTCGTGTGGTCCCAGTCTGTGAGAAATGTAGATCCTGGAGAGGGCAGCCAATCCAGGGAGGAAAGAATGAGAAGAATCAGGAGATTAGAGGCGAGTGAGAGAGCCATGATGCTGTGGAGAGACAGAGGATAGAATAAGAGAGGACAGAGACACTGTGATTATAATTATCAGCTGAACTCCATGGTGACACTCCCATGTGAACTAACCTCCTTCCCCCACTAACGCCATCTTTTTCTCTCTGGCCTGTGAGCACAATTTGTGACCGCTATTTATTTCAGTTGGTGTACATGAAACCAAACACTGGACAGGATGTAAGGAATTATCACGGGAGTTTGCAGCTACGGCATTTCAAAGCTGAAAATATGAATGGTGGGGTTTACGTGTGTTGTTTCGCTTTGTGTGAACTCTAAAAGAAAACATTTTTTATCATTTCAGAAAAGATCTCAGTAACATTTCTATTAGTTACAGCTACTTGAAATAACTTTTCCATGACGTACACGCTACCTTCTGACTGTTTAGATGGTTAAATCCATTCGTTTCACAGTCGATTACATCATTAGACAGATATATGCTCCTGAAAGCCTGTTATTAGCGCTAGGGCAAGTTTTTAAAACATTACTTAGCTCCATGTTTCTTTGGTTTATTAACGATAAATGTGTCAGTATTGGAAAACTGATGCACTATTACATTTAAAGTTATTAGTGGAAACAGATGTGAGTTAAAACTTCCAACAAATAAAAAGAAAAATTAGCATTTGTTTGGAATAGCTGTCACCATTTGAGTGAATAAAATCATGTTCCGATCCATGCTTAATCATCCAGGTAAGGAAATTCCGGAAACTTGATTCTGTGATTTGCAGTGGGAGAATGTCACATCCGCTTGAACAGAACCAACTTTCTGGGAAAATCATGTTCCTTTTGTATCAGCTGGGAATTATAGATCTTTGCTAAATTAGAGTTATTAGCATTTTCTGTAGGGTCGGTTTCTGGTGGGTAAGCAAAAAGTAGTTATCTAAATCCACAATGATGCCAAGAATGTCAAACCCAACAAACTGGCTTTTCAAGACCAAAATATTTTAGATAGAAACCAACAAGTAGTTTGACTTTGGCACTTTGGATCTAATTATGAAATCCTGTATGGCAATTAATGGCAATTTTAATGTATGACACAAAAAGGGTAAAATATCCTTAAAAGAAAAAGCTGTTGAGGCTTAACTTGTAGAAACTGTATTTCCCAACAAAAGTTCTAACACAAACTCTCCTGCCATCTTTGTAAAACATATATTTTAGTAGTTTATTTATTTGAAAATATGATGGCAGCTAATTCACAAAACGCTCAATAAGTCAGTGTTAGAGACAAACTCTAAATATAGGCCAAATTTTCAGTCCGCACCCATGGCTATTTACAGCTGTGGCTCCACGACTTTACTGGGCAGCAAACAACCCCATCCCCACAGGATACATTTGCCTAAATTACGTGGTCCAAGTATCTTAAGATTCCTGAATCCAAGCTTATCTCATTTTATCTTATCTTCCACATTATCTTATGTAATCTTGTCTTATCTTATCTTGCAGATCCCACAGGTTACAGGAACTGCTCAAGACTGGAAAAGTCTGGTATCTTAAAAAACCCTAGCGACAAGAAAATGTCTGGATCCAGCTCACTAGCCCATATTTACCACACTAGTCATCCATTTACTTGATTTGGCTTAGATTTATTACACATTAAAACAAAGAGTCTAGATTTAAGGGAAAACAACATCTCAGTTTGACAAAAGAAAAGGTTTTCATTTCAGGCTTTTAGTCCAAGGATAGACTTAATCCATGTCAGTAAATCTGAAACATGAAGCACAACTAAAGCAAGAACAAACGGAAAAAAACAACAAAAAACTAAACATTGCAACATGGACAAAAAAAACAAGAATCAACATAATTTTGCAACTCTGGTTCGTCACATGTAGCAAATTTTTTAATGAATGTGGCAACAGACAGGTCCACTGTAAGCAGTCAGTCATATTTGTGCTGATGACTTCCAAGGGTCCAGAGGTCATATAAAGCCAAGTTACACAGTGCAAGAATTTATGGCAGAGAACTGTCAAGAGGCAAGCTCATGCAGACTTACTTAAATGTTTCTCAAATGAATTTCATATTTTTGGCTTCCGTTCTGTTGAACAATTATTAACCCGTCCGATAAACACTTTCAGATAAGAAATTTTTTTTTTTTTGCTTGTTTGTTTGTTTTTTCCCCCTTGGAAAAGTTAAGTTCATTGCACTTCTTTTTAGCATAATTTTTTTTACTTCTTTAACATTCTTCCAGTAAAAGTACTAAATTGGAGCAAAGGTGGCCCCTTTACCCCAAAATATGTCCTGATGTTAATCCGTACTTTAGTCTCACCCTTTCACATCTGGAAGCATCTGTGGACATCCTGGCAAGGCTGGTGCTTCTTCTCCATCTTGTGCAAGCCTGTCCCCCGTTTTTCTTCCTCTCTCACCCAATTACAAACTCACAGGCTGACAGGAAGAGTTGTCTAAGCCAATCAGAAGAGAGGGAGGCTAAACCCAGGCCTCTTGGGGTCCCTTGGTAAACATTTAAGGCCTGCGTCCTCAACCCTCCTCCCACTACCTCTGCCCTAAAGCATACACACACACACACACACACACACACACACACACACACACACGTGCATACAACATGAACACATCACACATACTAAGGCACACAGATGCAGACCTTGACTTGGCACCCCTCTGCCAGCACCATGCCTCTCCTATGTTTCCTTAAATCTACTATAATCATCTATGTTTGTTCTAAAGAAGCTGACAGGGGAGGCAGAAGCCAAAGAAAAAAAGGTTAGGGGGTGAAAGGACACATCGTTTCTGTTAGTCCCTTCTATAACTGAAGAAGGACAACATGTACACAAACACTCGCAGAGCAATGTTGCAAGCTAGAGTTTAGTTTGAGCTTCCTTTAGCGAGAAAGCAAAAAACAGAAAGACGCTCTGACATTTTGTAGTCAATAAATATTTTCTATGGACACTAATTTCATACTCTAAATTTACTTATGTGCACTGTTGTGTTTTTGAATTGTGTCTTAGGGCAGGGGAGTAAAAGCAAGTCATTCCAAAATACATTTTTTCTTTTATCTTCAGTGTCCACAATAACTTGTTTTTGTATTAAAATGGAAAAAGAACCATACTTTCTTTTTAAGGACTCTACATCCAAACCATAGACTGTATATAAAATATGGGCAACGTAATAGTAATGACATTGTTTTTTGGACTACTGTGCCCTAACGTTTTGTCTTTATCATACTGGCACTCCTCAAGCTCCTTTGCAGACATACATGTCCAAATTTATTTGGGTAAGAGGATAGAAGAGTGTTAATTTATCGGACAAAACCAGCACCCTGGAAAACTAAAAGCTCAATAACCCCAAGAGGCCCGCTTAGTTTGGTTTCATGTTAATGACATTCGCAATACAACACAGAAGTCAGCAAAACAGTCTGTGCTCATGTCCACATATAATACAACAGTATATTTGAAATGAGATTTAGCATTTGGTCATTACAAGAAAGAAATTCTGCCGTAAGGTCTTCAAGGCCATCATGAAACACTGATTCGGATTACGAAGAAAAGAAGGAAGATTATTTTATTCACTAACAGATGGGGGGGGAGGCTTTGGGCAATTTGACCTGCATTTTTCATTTTCCCCACTTCAGTGTTTTATTATTTCGTGGGGCATTAAAGAAAAACGAATGTTTATAAGCTCTAAATGGCCTGAGGTGATTCAACTTTGACAGAATGCAAATGAATTAACATTTTCACATTTCCACAACAAAAGTGGAATTTTGAAATCATAGCTACTCTGCTAAATGCTACAAAATATTTATAACAATTGCGTGAGACATTAAAAAGTTTTTGAGCACTGTGATTTAAAGAGTGGATCTGTGTGTATCCTGCCCCAGGATGCACACACATGCAGTAAATTATGCATAATTTTATTTTTGCAATTGGATTTCTGATGTCTCCTGAGCAGAAAAATACAATCAATCTTAAAAATCTGTGATGTAAACAACGGAATTTTTGTGGAAGAAAAACGTCTACAGGGCATCTTTAACTGCATACAGTTTTAATCATGAAATAATGATAGCATGTCAGTAAAAATCATCACCCTGGGAAGCTTTAAAACAAATATAATTTAGATGCCAGATGCCAGACAACTACATCGTCTTCAAAACAAGACAAAGTAAACATAAACAACCAAGAAAAATGTGGAATATAATGTTATGGAGCCGTGATTTTTTTCTCACCAGCAACCCAACAGGCTTATTATTTATGGTTTCATAGAACGTGTCACTGTGTCTCAACATGGTTTAGCTATACTTTGTGACTGAAGGACAATAAATAAACATAATTTGGAAAATGTTGTGGCAGAAATTATAGTCATTTTAACGAAATCTATTCAAACAATGACTGTGTTGTGCGTTTGCCCACTACTGGTTCCTGTAATACGTATCAGCAGGAGTGTACTTCTCCAAAATCATACGTCAGTTTCTGTGCCAAAGCTACGGGGTTTTCTTTAGAGGGGTGGAACAACACAAAATGATTATGGTGGAAAAAATTATTTTTACCACAGGCCTGATTGCTTGACAATCATCATCATGAAAACAAAAAATAAAAGAAAACTAAACTATGCTGTTTTGAGATATTTCCAGTTCACTTAGGCCCTGAAAAATCTTTAAACATTACAGCTTTCACCAAACTAGCATAATTTAACCAGGTATAACAACTCCACAGGAGCATCACGGTGTAGGAAAAATGGAACCACAATGCATTATTGTGGATGATTGCAGTGCAATTTCAGTCTCGGGTTCAGAATTGTTATATCTCTAGATAGCATGCAAACATTTTTCCTTAACTTCAACCCCAGCCTCAACATTTTAGTAAATGTAACACTTCCACATGAGTCTGCACATTACACCAGGTAGTGAGTGAGAGTCTACCTCGGCAGAGCCAATCAGACAAGAGTAAGGACCTGAAAACAGCAGCAACCAGCTCCTCTAAATAAGCCTTGTGCTGCTGGATGTATTTACATACATTTGTCTGGAAATCAGTATATTTGTGAAGAAGCTAGGTACATATAAATATATATGTAATTTTTAACCTATGCACATATATGTTTGTGTGTCCACTTCCCTATATAAATATGGCTACTGGATGGTTCTAACGTCCCCTGCTCTTATTTCATAAGAGAGTGTGGAAAACTCAGAGTCAGCACATTGGCATGAGAAAAGTCTCTGCTGGAAGCAGATCAGGTCACACATCTGCAAACCCCGCTCATGTCTATGTGTGTGGGAGACCAGCAAGGGAAAGAGTGGGTGTCTGTGTGTATATGCATGCATATGTGTATAAATAAAATCAAGCATGCGTGTCAGAGAGAGAATGACAAAAGTAATGAGCACAAGCACGAGTCCAGCAGAGTCAAATTGCTTTACAAAATTTCCAGTTGTGTTTGTGCGCACGCGGGCATACAGCGGTTTGTCTAACGCTATCGACTATGTTTTAACCTGTTTTAAAATCAGGTTTTTCATCTTTTACAGGTGCCTGACGGTGGTAAAGCTGCTACTAGTCAAATTTGGCCATTTCAGAGACAGTTTTTAAAAAAATTAATCAGAACTGGAAAATTAACTGTGCCATTAGGCTTTAATGATTTATTGTGATTTACTGAATAGTTCAAATTTAGTGGTTGAGGTTTTGGAGTTCAATCTAATTTGAAGGAATCAAGTCTCTATCCAGTCTAACCCCTTCCAGCTCTGTTATTTGGACTAATTATATCTGTGCAACATGTACCTTTCCCTTTTGGTCTAAATCTGCTGTTTCTCTCTGTATGTCAGACACACACAAGCACATTCTGAAAACCATGACTGAAGCCCAGGTGTACATGGATGTGTGCAAAATGTAATGGTTTCCAGAGTGCTGTTGAGCTGTCAGAGGTTTTTGGAACATAACAGCTGTACTTAATGTTGTGTGTGACGACAGCGAGACACAAACCGATGGCTGTAATGTCTCTTAAAACTACTCGCCTCATGTTTTGAAATTTCTTTTCAGCTGCACAGTAGGGGCTGGTGTGTAATTGCTGTAGTTACACAGCTTCTCACCACATGTCTCATCGTTGCTTTTCTCTGCATAAATGCAGAAGTGATCAAATAAAGCATCCAACTGAAGATGCTTTAGCTACATTAGGATGAATATTAGCAAGTTATGCATCTATAAAAATTGATGTGATGTTTAAGACACACTGCCGACGATTTTTTTATATCTGTATTTATACAGAGAATCGATTATGGGTAAAACTTTAAAGTAAAATACTGTTTTCAAGCAACTGCACAAATGGATTTATGAGATTCTGAAGTGAAAGTAAATATGGTTCTTCTAGAAAATAAAAGGCACAAAACACACCAAAAACACACAACCTGGACTGCTCAAAGTGCAGATGGCCACAAATTTTGGGTGATGAATAAGAAGAAGCAGAGCTGGAACTCTGCCTTCTGTGTATCTCATCAGAGTGCAGTGTGCGTCCTAATCAAAACTGCAAAATGAGAAACATTGTTCTCCTGTGGTTCGTAAAACGGTCAAGCGTTCACTGATGAAGAGCAAACAAACTGAGATTAGAAGCTTGCGAAACTGGTAAATGCATGTGCTGTTAATAAAAACGCAATAAGGAGGAAAAACAAAGTCCCAGACTACTCTTTTGGCAGGTGTTTGGATGGTGGTCATTTTTCTGGAATGATATAAACTCGGTTAACCTATTAGTGCAAGGCTAAATCAATTACCATTTCTTAATATATTGTAAACAGTGAAGTCATTTAGTCAGTAAGAAGCTTGATTACATGAATGTTTGCAGTTCCTCTTAATATTATTGTACTGGTTTCATATGATATTGAGTGTCTTTGGATGGTGTTGAATCCAACTGAGCAGTTTAGGTAAATCACAGCTCAATATTGGTGGGATAAAAGAGAAAATATTTAAAAAGAAAACTGCCAATTTCTAGAGAAAATCATAATATTTGTACTCGACATGCAGTACTTCTCAAACTTTAGAAGCCAAAGAAAGCTCACACTCCACAATCATTATCAATAAAAAAGATCCCAGCTTAATTTCAGATGAACTAAAAAGTTAAGAATCGCAGCATCAGCTCTTCCTTTTGTTTATTCCCCCTTTAAGTCATATAATTCACTCCACGTTTTCCCCCAGGTGTGCCACCCCCACCACCCACATGCCCACCAATGAAGCCTGTGCAGAACCACTGTCCTAATGTCTTGCGTCTACAATAACAGATATAACTGTACAGATATCATAATCACTCAATTCTGAATTTGATGCATGCAAAGACACCAAAGAAAACAAGCACCTTCTGAGCATTTTAGAATAGCTTGATCACTTTTTAAAGAACCAGCGCTTCTGTCTCATTCCAGATGTTTGTATTTCTCCACTGAGGTTTCGGTATTTGTCAGCATGCTGTTTAACACAGCGGGACTGCACTGTACAAACACCCCGGAGCTGTAATTAACAGGACTTAACGGGTAACAATAGAAAAGTATACATCCGTCACATCCAGCTATGGCTGGCATCCCATCCCAAGCTCTCCAAATTTCTCTTGCAACGCCAATTTGCAGCACAGGAAAAAAAAAATCCCATTCGTTGTTGATTCTGCTGTAAGCTCTTAAAAGTGCGCACCAGAAGAACAAATGAGTTTGTGATGGGTTGGAAAGATTTTCTTTTTCTTTTTTTTCTTTTTTTGCGTAAAAAAAAAGAAGTGCTGCATTTAAGCTAAGCCTCGAGACGTGCATAACATGCTTAAAATGTGGAGCTTTATGGGCACAAACAACGCATTTCACTCTTTAAAAACATAAACTAACTTACTTCATCCGAAGCGTGGAGCTGAAAACTGCAAGCACGGCGCAGATTTACTTTTCAGAAGTTGCTCATCTGATGGCCAGCGCAAGCACTAACGGGTTACAAGTCCTGCTTCTTCTTCACTGCAGACTGCTCGGCCCGACTCAGTCCTCACCGGGACGACTTTTACATATCACTCAATCTCAGGATCGGACGCGTGCTTTCCTGGTGCGGTTTTTGCCTTATTTGCTGCTCATCGTCTAGACCACTTGGAGGGGTAGAGACACGCTACGTCGCTTAAACAGAGAAAGTGGGCAGTGTGTCTCGCGTAGCGATCAAGCGCCCTCATCCGCCAGCAATCCACTCTGCTCTGTTGACCACCACCACAGAGGGGGCAGCTAGGGAGAATGACTGCCGGGCCAAACTTCCAAAATAAAACCCCTTTAATACGCTGCCATGCTTTCTGGTGAGAGCAAAAGTGAAGAGAAAGTAGCGACCTGCACGAACAGCTTATTAGAGCAGACGAACTGTACTGTAGTTGAATGGGTGTGTTTAGAATAGTTGTTTATGTTAATTGTTAATGTTTTAGATATTTAGGAATGCGGTGAAATGTAGTTTTCTTTATTATTTAGATGATAAAGTCTTAGAAGAAAAAACGTTTTGCTTTTCTTTTTCACGTGAAATGTATTTAGTATTTAGTATTTATTTATTTATTGTCATTGTCAAGAACAATGAAATTGCGTTTGGGGCTTCCATACAACCCAAAAAAAAGAAGAAAATAATAAATAAATACCCCTTAAAACCCAAGTGTACATATTTAACCCAGTGTGACTCCAATGCAATAAGACAATCCTTAGCAATAATGTTCGTAGAAATTCAGACAAAGACCTGAGAAACATGACAAAATACAACAATGCAACCCATTCAATATTATTGTACTGTGAGATATGATATCAGATATGATAGTTATCTATTTAAGAAAGAGGGGGGGGGGGGGGGGGGGGGGGGGGGCAGGAGGGGGAAGAGAATAAAGATATGATGCACCAATGCAGACCAGTTCATTGCTATTAAGAAGTTGGATATGGTTATTGTCCGTGAGAGGGGGGCAGAGAGTTCAGGAGCCTCACAGCCTGTGGATACAGGCTGTTGGCCAGTCTGGATGTTCTGGCCTGTATAGACCTGTATATTCTCCCCCCAAAGGTTATATAACCATCAGAATAAGCCACAATGTATCCTGTCCTTGTGTGCGAAAGAGACATCGTTTAACTACAGGACACTTCCATGGTGGGGGGACTCTGTCCCAAACTGTAGCCTGTGTTGGTTCACGTGGAGTGTCCACCAGAGACGTCACGCCAAGAGAGGCTCGGCCAGGATTTCAGCTGTCAATGGGCCTAAACCCCCACACCCATAAGCAACCAGTTAGTAAGGACGACCCGCCCCGACACGTGAATAACGTTTCATGCGCCAGCTGTTGCTGCTGGTTTGCTTTCCCCCCTGAGCACTGCATCCATATACGCTGTCTCATTATCGCCACAGAGCTTTTCATTTTTTCCAACGTGTTCATGATTTCACTTTCCAATCGATGATTACTCAAATGCGATCAATGCAAAAAAAGTTCAACTGTCTCATTAAAACGACCCAAGCCTAATTTTGGAGAGCTGCAGCCTGCAACACACGAGTGTCCACATACCCATTATGAAAGTACGGATCACAGGCTGTGTAATGTATAAAGCTGAGCTAACCCTTGCTCTCTAAAACGGCAAGGAGCTTCAAACTCCAATTACCAATATCATGATTGGAGTTTTATTAACAAAAACTGAATAACCTAGGCAAGAGGGGCATTGAGACAAAGAAAAAGACACGGAGGAGGGCACAGAGGAGAACGAGTGCTTGTATTTCCTTGGTCCCAGTGCTTTTTATCTTTCTGCCAATGCACTGATGCAGTGTTGACATAATTTGTGATGTGATGAGAAAGATATGGAATTGGCCTGTCTTTACAGAGCGGAGCTGGCCTTTTATTTTTATATCCTGTCCTCTTCTTGTTTATGAGGTCCACAACTTATAGCTATGGCTTTTCCATGTCGTTCAACTGCAGTGCGCATAAAAACACTCAGTGAGAGACCAGGGCTGCTCCCATGCAACATAAATACTGTGAATTATAAACTAGCAGAGGAAAAAAGCTCGAACTGAAATAACTTTAATGAGGTTTGCAAGTGTTGTGCGCCATTATTCACTGCTGATCTTTCACTCGACACGTTGTGACATTAATTAAAGAAACAGAAAGAAGAAGAAAAAAACTGGCACTGAGCATGTACTGTATTGGTGAGTTACAGTATATGACAAAGAGCTGTGATTGGAGGAGATCGGGGGTGTTCAGTGAATTACTTGCTTTGTTGCTGAATCATGTGGAGTTACGCTGTAGTGAATGTGACAGGATAACAATGCATCTGTCCCACAGACTGATGCCACTGCAAGGGCACCGGAGGGGGGTAACAGGGCTGGAATTAAGTTCCCACCATGCAACCACCTAAGCTCTGCAGGGTGTTTAGTGAGCAGTTTAGTTTTAGTCATTACAGCAGCAATCGAAGAGATGTTACTCTTTAACAATATATATCATTTGCCACTGGTTGTTAGAATAACACTGTTGAGTTTTGTTTTATTTTAGGTTTGTACTTTACACCCAAATTGCTTTAGCTTTCCTAAAACAGTTAGATACTGAGCTCTATACCAAATTGCATTCAAACTCTGATGAGTCTGTTTCCGTAGCGCACTAATGTCAGTGGCTGCTTTGACATGTCAATAATATTTATAGTAAAAAAAAAAGTAAACGTAAGAAAACAGTGTGCGGTGCAGAAATCCAATATGTCACTTAGTGGAATGACATGGTTCATTTAGTATGTGGAGATTAATACAGCTACAGTATGTTTTGCTTTCTTTTGGATCTCTTTGAATGCCTTTTCTGGCTGTTGCTTTAAAACTGTGTTCGATCTGCGCTGACTGCCTGAAACTACCTTTGTGCAGCATGTCACAGCTGTATTCCTGTGATCGTTTTTCTGCAGTATTGTCTTTCAATAGCCATGTAATGTATGTTTGGCTGTCTGTTTTTATTTTCCCAATAATGGAAGTGTGCCCTTTGTGTCATCCCCTTCAAGTCAACCGTAATGCATTTATAGTTTCACAGCCAACTGTGGCTATATACAACTATGCCAGCTCCTTGTCACCTATTGGATTAGGATAAAAGAGAGGAGATGGCTACAGGGGGAAAACACACACACACACACACACACACACACACACACACACACACACACACACACACACACACACACACACACACACACACACACGCACGCACGTACTAAAAACAACAGAAAATATACAGAAGGATCACACTGTTCCTGGTGCTTTATCTTCTTTAGTACAGAGTGAATGATGATTTGAACAAGCTCAAAATGATTCACAAATAATTCACTATTAATACTTCTACTAACCTGCCATGCATATGACAGCGGGAGGTAGGTGGGATGGACAGTGAAGTAGGAAGGAAATTGAAGTGAATTGGTGAGATTGCATGGGTTTAGTAAAACCCACAGAGTATCAGCATGAGAACCTCACCATGTGCAAAACAACACAATTAAGAGGGACGCTTAGCTTAATCAGTGAATGCATCATGCAAATGATGTTTTTTCTTTTTTCTAAACCTACTTTAATCTTGGCTGTTATCATAGAATACAAATCAGGGACTTAATTCTAATGAAAGGAGAAGAGAGTGAAGAAGAGGGATGATAGAACACAGAGTTGCTGCTATAAAAGAGAAGTTGGAAAAATACAGCGTGTTTAGCCCGGTGATTTGCAGTTTGAGTCAAATTAATAGTAATAATAGATACTTTGTACATTAGTCTGTATGTTTGCACTGGCATGTTTACTTATATTGTTACCTATTGTGCTTATATTAAAATGCATTATTGGTACTTGTTTTTAAGTTTGATTAAGAAAATACGACAAAAAACCATCTAACATGCAATTCAATAATTACTTGTGCACCACTATATACAGACTGGAAAGTAAATATACAGAAAAGCAAAATATGCAACATTATGATTAATACAATATGTCAGATGTTTATTTTAAAGGTGTTGCTTTTTGTGGGTCCATAGAACCGGTTTATACAACAAATTTTTTCAATTCATAATGAACACCAAATTTTGAAATACTTATTAGCAATCTTGCAGCTCCACCATGTTCTAAACAGGTTTCTCAAACTTCAGTGATTGATTAATGTGTGTGCTATTTCTATCAAATTAAATAATGAAGTTTTCCCCTTTTCTGGTTTTGTTTTTATCTTTGTCAAATTTAGTTTCTAACCATCAAAGAACTTTAAAAATGGACAAAGATGACCCAGTTAAATACAAAATGCAAAATCCAAGCAAGTTTCGACAGTAGATCCAACACATCCTGGCAGCAAAAGCACACCAAACTAAAGTAATGGTTTACTTTCGCCTGCATTCACAGAAAAGTTGTTCATCACCAGAAAGAAGCTTCCCCCCCCCCACCCCCACCCCCTCTTTGTTCATTCAGATTGCAGTGGCAAACTGAGTTATGAACACTGATAGATCTCTCCATAAGGCAACACCAGGATTACTAACAAAGGATTCTGGAAAGTTTTTTCCTGCATACCTGCCCTCAAAACAGATCCCCATGGTGTATGCACGATTTAGATTTAAATTGATGACTTCATTTATTAGAGAAAAAGTTATCGCCCCCTTGTTAAATTGCAAATTAATTGTGATTAACCGCATTTCTTGGAAAGATGAGTTCAATTTCATCAGCCACACCCAGGCTTGATTGCTGCCAGACCTGCTGAATCAAGAAATCACTAAAACAGAATTGTGAAAAAGCAACACATCATGCCATGATCTAAAGAAACACAAGATCAGATGAAAAACAAAGTCACTGACATATATCAATCTTGGAAGGGTTACAGAGTCATTTCTAAAGCTTTGGGAATCCAGCAAACCGCAGTGTTTTGGTGCTTCGGGACCTGGATGGCTTGCTGTAATTGATGGAACAGTGAATTCTGCACTCTACCAGAAAATCCTGAAGGAGAATATCCTGCCAGCATCTCATGTCCTAAAGCTCAACAACACTTGCAATATGCAGTAGCACAAAGATCTGAAACACACCAGCAAGTCCACTACTGAATAGCTTAAAAAATAAAAATAAAAAGGAAGGTTTTGGAGTGGTCTAGTCAAAGTCTGGACTTGAATCTGTTTGAGATGCTTTGGGCTGACATTAAACAGACTATACATGCTCAAAACCCTTAAATGTGGTTGAATGAAAACAATTCTGCAAAGAAAAGTGGTCCACAATTCTGCCACAGTTAACACAGAACACTAAATTGCACTAGGTTACATAAGCTAGTTGTCAATTCATGAAATTAAATTAC